GTTTCATATTTCACAATCACTTTTAACAAAACATTTCAAAACATAAAAGAATAGATGTCAGGAATCTACAGCGCTCGGCCAGATAAACTCAAAGCAGTTTAGTATGACAGCGAAATCCTGTTGAATTCTTTCTTAAATTATTATTAAGCTGGACCCCCTCTACCCCCTCTCTCTGACAGGTGTTTTGTTTCACCAACAAGTGTAAGCTTGGCCTTAAATGTATCACCACACAGGTGTGAGGGATCTGTCTGTGCCCACACACACATGCAGAAAGGTTTTGGGAGTCGATCTAGAGATGTTTAGGTGTGAGCATCAGTGCGCCGTATGTTTTTCAGGCCTGGCGTTGGGCCCTGTGATGACGTCTGGAGCGCTGAGGGGACTGAGGGTGTGCTGTTTGTGTTGGGTGTGGCGGGTCTTTTGAAGAGGAAATGGTAAACCGTTCTTAGATCTTCTTGTAGTTCACTCACTATTTTCCCTCACGATAGATAGACACTATGTAAATTATACAGTAAACAAAAACAACCACATTCGGCCACATCAATGAACTTTATAAGAGAAATGTAATGACACATCAACATAAAGCAATTTGCAGTAATGTAAACTATAAAATGACATGTACAATGTTTAAGAACTTCTAAGATGTCGATGAGACGTGAAACCAGACTTTACCGTTTCCCAGGAAGAGTATTGCTGTTGAAACAGATGTTTGTTCTGAGATGAGTGAGTGGTTATGGAGACAGGAAGAACTAGAGGACTCAATATATCGTCATCAGTGGACGTTTTAAGCTCTTGGTTTACAGAATTTGCTTGGAGATCTTATGGAGAAAGTGTTTCTTTCGTATGGACTTGAGATCCAAATCGGCTGATGAAGGAACAGGAAAAACTGAAAAGACGACTGTAAAATCATAGGATCCCACAAAGTCCTCAAGTAAAACTATTAAAAGAGGACGGAAATTATCATGTCGGCAGAAATATTTGAATAGTTGATAGTCTAATCGGGGACAGCTGTAAGCCTTTTCCTATCATATGTTGAACATTTTAAAGTTCTTAATCACTCAAACAAAATGAAACTAATATTATTTAAGTGAGATTGTTACTACTCTCTTCTAAAGATGTCATCACACTGCTGAGCTGATGTTTGCTGTGGTCTGTCTCAGCTGTCACAGATAACAGTAATCATACACGCTGTTAGACGCAGAGTACAACACTCCAGGACAGAAAGTTTAACCCACAGCTCTACTGGTCTGCACTTGTGCTTCATAATCTCAGGTCTCACGGTGTCGCTGTGTGTATGACGTGCACTTTAACCTCATTCAGAGATTAAAGTTTCACTCAGATATAGTTTCTATGAAAAAACATTGTCCTCGGGACAAATGGAGGCCGTCATTTCTCAGAAAGAGTACACAGTCATCCACACCAGACCGATTCTATCTGTAGTCTCAGAGCTTGCCATGTTGATTTATAATGAGCACCTCGGGCTTCAGGTTTTGCGAGTAGTTTCTGGTATGGCTGCTCCTACTCACATCTTACAGCAGTGCAAACTCTCACACACCACATCAAAGCGCCTCTGGTGGCCTGTGACCTATAGAAGAGACCACAATGATATGGCATGAATGATCTATTCGATGTCGTCTTCCTAGGAAAGGAACAGTTCATTTCCTGCTGAAGATACTGACACATCTTTATATTATTTAGTAAGTTTATTGGGCAAGAAAAAGTTTTTGAGGAGTTTGTTTTGGTGAATTTCAGTTGGACAGTTAATAAAATGGATCATTTTGACTCTCATGTCCTAACCGGTCATTACGTGGGAAACCAACAAAAGTTAAGCTATCTCTTCAATCTTAATTTGAGGTTTGTCCTAAGTAGCTTCAACAGTGATTGATAAGGCATTTAGCCAGTTACTTGATGCATTTTGTAGGGCATTCTGGGTAACCTGTCCCACAGCAGAATCTCATTGGTCAAAAATCCTTCAACACATACTGTAGCTGTCTGATAAAACATTTGTTCAGACGGAGTTATTGTGTGGTTTCTCATACCTTTTTTTTATCTCCCACAAGTGTCAAAAAATTCCTTTTAATTTTAAGTTTAGACAGTGTAAAATTTGTAAAATTGGTTTACTTGTGTATATTTTGTTTTATTTTTTGATATTTGTTTTACTCATTTTTTTAAAATGTTTTTTATTTGTTTTTTTATTTAATTTTATTGAACGTTGTAATATTGCTTTTATAGTTTTAAAGGGGTCATATGATGCGATTTCAATTTTTCCTTTCTCTTTGGAGTGTTACAAGCTCTTGGTGCATAAAGAAGATCTGTAAAGTTGCAAAGACTAAAGTCTCAAATCCAAAGAGATATTCTTTATAAAAGTTAATGGAGTTATTGTGTGGTTTCTCATACCTTTTTTTTTTATCTCCCACAAGTGTCAAAAAATTCCTTTTAATTTTAAGTTTAGACAGTGTAAAATTTGTAAAATTGGTTTACTTGTGTATATTTTGTTTTATTTTTTGATATTTGTTTTACTCATTTTTTTTAAATGTTTTTTATTTGTTTTTTTATTTAATTTTATTGAACGTTGTAATATTGCTTTTATAGTTTTAAAGGGGTCATATGATGCGATTTCAATTTTTCCTTTCTCTTTGGAGTGTTACAAGCTCTTGGTGCATAAAGAAGATCTGTAAAGTTGCAAAGACTAAAGTCTCAAATCCAAAGAGATATTCTTTATAAAAGTTAAGAGTCAGCCACACCTACCTAAAACGGCTCATTCTAACACACCCCCACATGTCTACGTCTCGATGTGGGAAGATTTGCATAACAAATGTTCACGCAAAGAAAGAAGGCGTAACTTTTATTCCCACTGTAGTATTGTTGCTGCCGCCGCCATGTTTGGTTGTGAAAGCGAAACTACTTTGGCCTTCCGAAAGAGGACACGACTAGAAATCAGTGGTTAAGTTGTATTTATAACACTTATCCTTAACAGTTCAACCCAAATATTCAGATGTGTGCAGCACATTTTATGGAGGACTGTTTCCTGATCCTGGTAGAGTAGACTACAATGCTGGCTGTTCTGACTCACAGACTGTAAGTACATTTTTTTTTTTATATGGATTTGCCACTGATGATTCAAACGTGA